TAGAAACCTAGAATTATTGGTAGGTGAAAACTGATGGCATTTTCTTGAGTCTCTTCCTATCCATTAGGAAGTTGGTTGGCTTTTCTAATATACATTAAACCATCTAATTTAAAGTTACAGTCTTTTGTTGTCAAAGTCAAATAATTTAGTTATTTTTAGAGATTAAATAGCTGCAGAGCTTTGACCTGAGGTGTTTTCAATGACAGACAAACATGATGAAGTAACAGGGGAAGTACTTCACACATTAGAATTCATTGTGTGTCACTATGCCACTTCTATTTTCAGCCTTTTAATTGATTTTAAATGACCTATGACTTGGGTAGGACTAGGATATCAGTGGTGTGAATTCCAAATTTACAAGTGCCTCTCAAGCCTGGGTAAATACATAGACTGGATACTGTGAGCGTACCCCTCTTCAGTTCTTGTGTCCTCATGCTCTGAGCTAAGTGCATTTTGTCTTTTGACTGAGAAGAGGCTGCCTGTGGTGGCAGTTGTGTATTTCTGCATTTCAAAGTATAACATTTCAAGTATTATATTACCCTGACATAGTATCTCAGATTAATCAATATAATACACCTCTTCATTGCCATCGTTTCAGCAGGTTGAACTTGTCATGAATGTACTGCTAACACTTACATGATGATCTCCCTTTTTGTAGGTAGGGATGAAATAACGAAAAATTAACTGTCATTTAGACAAGTATTTCAATGGTACTTTGCTTTATATTCTTAGAAAGGTATAGGTTACATCTGACTTCTGTGAAGTCAAGAGCATGATTAGATTTCCCTCCTAACCCCTTCCTTTAAAGGTCCTAAGGCTGGAATAGAATGAAATAGAAATAAGTGGAATGACATAAAGATACTAAAGGGATACCACCTGGAATTTAGGGACTGTTTTGTGATTCAGGATTTTGTATGTTTCCATGGAACCATCTGTAATGCTTGCAGGAGCAGGGCTCTAATCCGGAGATATCAGTAGCTCAGTAAAAATTCTGAGATGCCAGAGTTCCTTAGTATTGGGACCTTTCTGGTTTTTTTGGGGGTAAACTTGGTCTGAACCATTGGAAATACTCATATGGATTCACAGGAATACCTTCTGATGATTTCTATCAGTGGAGTAATGTAACTCTTCTCCGGTCATCTCTTACAGTTACAGAACTGGTGGCAGATCTGTTCCCTCACCAATCTTTCTGCGGGTATTCTCTTGAATTTGGGATATATAGATAGCTATTTTATACATGTATATGCATGTATATATATATGTATATGCTATGTGTATTATATATACCATGTCCATATGATATATATAAACCACATCTTAAATACTTAGTTTGTATGACTCTAGTCCCATGTGTCCAGAGCGGGGGGATCTAAAGAGTCCTGGCTATTACAAATTCTTGGAACTTTTTTACGTTATTCAATCAGTAATATCAGCACAGGTAGTCCTCTTATGTTCATCAGACCCTCACATAATTGCTGAGAAGTCATGGAGGACTTCTCCACCTATGTCTTCACAGCTGTTGATACATGGTATTAAAATATTTGTAAGTACAAATATATATGGTACATTTTAAATCTAAACTCCATAGGTGAGATTATACTGCTTCTGAAGAAGGGAGAGTATGTTGTTGTAGGGCTGAACTTTGTCAGGTCAAGTTCATGCTTAAGTCTTGAATTTCATTCCTTTTGCCAGTTGGAGAAGATCCATCAAAGAAGGAGAGAAGCAGAAAATGATTGGATCTTATTTCCTTATGACCTTGGGCTGTGACACCATTTGACCTCAAGAGATTAAGTAGGGTCAGAGCAGCACTTGAAAGAGGCTAACGTATTTTTTTTCTGTAGGCTGTTTTGATGAATCAGGGGTTGAAACTATGGTTTCTGAATTAATGCTGTTCTAATCCACTAGCAAAGTATTTGGAATATGTTTTGTTACTCTGTGTGCTATTTGTGAGAGAGTCTGAAAATGGATGTTAACTGCTAGTATCTTCTTAATAGCTTTCATGTGTAAGTGTCATTTTACTTTTTTAGCCACATTTTAATTCAGGTATCTAGACAATGGTAACTTTTTTTTTTTAAATGTAATTTTGATTTACATCCCTTGTCTTTGCTGTTTTCCCTGCATTTTAAGTGCTGTTTTATGGTGCCTATCTCTGCTTGCTTTTCATTCTGTGGAGAATGCAATAATGTAAGCAATATCATTAGTTATGCAAAGAGAGATTTAACATATGCTGTTAATTGATGGATACTTAACTGAATTTTAAGGTTACCATTTCCTGGTGGAGCTGTATACTTCCAGGTATGTTTTTATGTGACAAGTGGTGTAAAGGGAACAGCTGATCATGTAGCTAGTTTCTAAACAAGTACTATTTCTACTCATTCTAATCAAAAAGTGAGAAGCTAAAGACAGCTTTCTGCATTGTTAAAGAAAAAAAATGCTGCAGTTTGCAACTTTTTTCATTCTAACCTGGTCTATCTCCTGTTATTTTCTTCTACCTTTCCTTCCCACTTGAAGGACTTCTCCAGGTCTGTCTCAGCAGAACTCACATCCTTTTCTTTCTTTAAGTTTTGTTGTAACAAGACAACTAAAGTCACATTTTAACATTTGACTTGTGAATGTGTCAGCAAAATCCTCTGGCTCCCTACACAAGATTTTGGAGCTTGACACAAGTTTCTCTAACTAACCTGCCACTGACTTCGCAACTCTGGTCTTCTACCTGATTTAGTATGTCTCTTTGGAAAATTGTGTTTGCATTTCAGTTGTAATAATGGTGATTGCTTTGCCTTTGAGAATGATGCTTTCGTTCTTTTGATGTGGTTGATACGGTGCCAGATGTGTCAGCAGTACCTGAGTTTTTTTCCCTCAGCCCTGATATTGACGTAAAATGCAGGGAGTTCAAACAACACACTCCAAAGATTTTTGACTCCAAGGTTAGACTTCTATAATAAACAATACTTTATCTGAAGTATTTCAAAGAACACTTAAGAAATTAGCCTATTAGGCATGAAGTCTTAAGCAACTTAAAGACATTAAAATTCTATTTCTTAAAGAATTTCAGCAGCTATAGATGGGAACTTCTTTGTGAACACAAGTTCAAGACCAAAGGAGTGCTATCTGTTTCACTAAGAAAAACTATCTCAATTTCTGTGTTACCTGAACAGGATCAGATTGCCTCATCTTACTATAAATAAGGTTTTAGACTTGAAACTCCAGTGGTTTCTGTGTATACATGCTCATGCAAATAGATAAATCGGCTAAAGAAAATCATTCTATATATATATACATACCACTTTCATGCCTCTCCACATCACAGAAGAGGAGTGAGGGCAAACCTACCTGGTCAAGCACAGGCAGATGAAGAGGGGAGGATCCAGTCCTAGCAGACCTTTGAGTTCTGACAGTTCAGTATGGGTGCTCGAGTAGTATTGCTGGAAATGCTCATTATGCACTTCCATGCTTACAAGAATTGACAGCCAAGTCATTCAAGCCACCTCCTCTCTTGTCTGATCCTGTTCTACTGATGGGTCATTTCTTTTTGTCTTAAAATGTCATTAGAATCATTCATTGAGCCATAATTTCAGGGGTTTTTTTTAACAAGAGAATATGAACATAGAGATAAACACTTCCAGGAGCATAACTTCCTTTTGGCTTTTTACATCTGTTATCAAGAAACTGGCTTGACCAAAGTACCAGTAGAATTTTCTTAGTGTTTTCAGGTGTTAGAAGACTTCATCTCACTTGGATTTTACTTACTCTTATAGTAATTTTTGTGTCACTTGACAGATTTTCCACTAGTTCTTTATTTTTCTGTTCTGACTACTCTGAAGGCAGTTACAGAAAAATTAACTTCTTTCCCTTTGCATAATCCCACAAGAAGTTAGTTTGAAAGATATAAAGCAGTAGACAGAAGAGTGTCTTTTGCAGTATGTAAACTTGTATGAAGGAAAGTGAATCTAACTAAAAGTCTGCACTCCTTATTTTGTTAGCACTCTTCATCAGGATCATTAGAGTCTCAGTCCTGATAAAGTTTCTCAGGTTTTAAAGCCTGCCTACCATATGGTAACTCTGATGAAACAGATACTCTTCTTGATTCTTCACTATACTAGTATCTTCTTAAGGGGAAGTGAAAAAAAAAAAAAATAAAAAAATTGTGTAAGCTTCTCCAGGGAACTCACCTGGAGGATTACCAAAGGGATAAGATAGGTAAAAATTTAAATGGTGTTATTAATCAGCAGATTGGGCATTCTTCTTTTAGGAGTGTCGACGGTTTAGCTCAGGAAGGAAGCAGTGGCCTACAAACTCTGTTAGTGTAGGTGCTACACAAGGCTGAAATAGAAAGTTTGCTGATCACGTAGGGAATAGATGGGAAATGTTTATTAAGCGCTAGAGGGGCAGCTGTAATACTGCTAAAGTTTTATAGATCTTCTGACAGAAGCTTTGTAAGTTAAGACTTAATAAGTTACCAGCTTCTCAACAAAATTGGATCCAAAACTGATGTCAAGGAAGGAAGAATCAAGAAAAATGGCTGTAATTGAGAAGTAATAGAAAGAATAGCTTTTACTTCCCAGCTAGTAATGATCACAGAACAAGATCAGACTGCTCTAAGCAATAGGAGAAGATTAAAAGCAGTCTGTATCTGGTATGCTTGGAAACAGGACGATATATTAAATACACTTATGATATGAGTAATAAGACAGCTTTATATTATTTCTTTAATTAAAAAAAAAAGATTAATTTTGCCCTGAAGCAGAATTTCTCTGACATTTAATTCATGTTTGCCAAGAGCTCCCTGATTACAGGCACGATGACTCATGTGTTTTCTCTCAGCTTAACATTAGAGGCTTGAAGAAGATATAATGGGCTGACACATACTACTTGTTTCCTAATATCTTAGAATACCAAAGTTTCAGTGTTGAGCATTTTATTTTAGTTATCTTTATAAAATTTATAAAAATCTGTTTGTATTTTTTCCAGTAGTATATGCACTGCATTATTTTTAATTTTGCTGTATCCCATGATTAGTGTTCTCCTCTCACAATAAATTCTTGGAGTACTGGAGTTGGTTAATTGGGTTTTGTTGGGTTTTTGTGTCTTAGGGTCAACATACTAAGATTGAATATTTTTGCTTTTTCCTCTTCATTTGTTGCTGTTCTCTAGTCTCCTCTTATACTTAAAGTTGAGTTACAAGCTTAAAGCACTGGCTAATGAGCCTGAACATCTTCCTGATGTAATTTTGTTTGGTATCATCTTTTTCTTAATTCATTCCTGCTTTTGTTCCTTGGGCCTTGTATCACAAGGAAGAGAGAGAGACTTTGTCAATATGTTAGCAATAAAATTACTGAGGCATATGGCAAAACAAGTGACAACACTTGTGGCTGTCATGTCCTGTGACTGCAATGATTTGAGGGAGAAGAAAATATGAAGAATCTTCGGTAGACCAATGTGTTTTATGCTCATGAAAGCATAAATGTTTTCATTTTTAACAGCATTTGGGCCTGCAATTTCCATGCAGATCCTGATATTGATATCTGTGATTTTGTTGGGGGCTACAGGCTTGATACAGAAACTCTGCTTTGGACAAGGTGGTAACCTGGTTATCCAAATCTCTAGCATGCTTTTTAGAAGGTGTAGCTTGTAAACATGTTTTGCTTTAGCTGATTTGCCAAGAGATCATAGTTGGCACTGAAAGCAAAATTCTTGTGAAAATTTGGAATGAATCTAGACTTTGCTAAGAAAATGCTCTAGACAACTTCACTTACATATTTCTTTTCCTAACGTTGTGGTGCTGCTTTGTGTGATGATGGCAAAACTGAAACTAGCTTGGTATGCAGCTAAAAAAGAATGAATCCTCTCCTGTTAGAAGAGTTATCCAGGATTATGTTAGCTATCATAAATATCCTTTGCTTAGCAACAGGAATGGCATTCAGGATATCAAGCCAACTGGAAAAAATACCTCTGACAGGGCTCTGTTGGGGTGGGTGGATAAGCTTTCCTGATAACACTAGTGCTTTCACTCTCGTCTGTTATAATTTGTGTTGCTAGGATCTATTTCACAAGTTTTGTGACAGACTTATAAATGATACTCTGGCTCCTTTTGTTTACTGTCAAAAAGAACCATAATGTGAGGAAAGTGAATAGCAAAAGGATATGGAAAATAATGAAAAATCTGGGCGCATAAGACCATGAGTACCTATACTAGGGCAGCTGTTCTTGAAGGGAAAAGGAAGTTTAAAAATTTCCTTTGGATTGCTGAAAGGAAAAACAACGTATAGTGACATTCTCCTTCTTTACTTTTTATGAACTTAGCTGCTTCAGCAAAATAGGAAAGAAATTATTTAGTCATAAAACTTAAAACTTCAATTAGAATTCAGGAGAATTGTCATATATCATGCAAACTGCTAATGGTGAAATGTATTTTTATTTACAGGTGTAATTCATGTTCTTGCTTCCAAATAAACTTTTCAACATGAATTAGTAGTTTCATTATCAGTCCACTCAGCCTGTTTGACTTTTTATACTTTTTCTTCCAGGGGAAAAAGAGGATGAACAGATAGTTGCAGAAATCATGAGGAGGCGGTTTTTTCCTGCTCTTATAACTCATGAGACCTGGGAAGGCTTTCACTTTGCTGGCCAAGAGATAAGAATTACAGAAGCCACTGATTGTTATGGGGCAGTCGTCTGGCCATCGGTACGATATTTTTACAGTATTGTTATTTTTTATTTTTGGAGTCTTCTAGCACTTTTTAATTTGTTTTGTAGGGCAAATATGTTTTATTATATGTTGTAAACCCAAGGAAATAATTCTGTGCTTCTCTGTCTCTGTTCTGAAAATCCCAAACCTGAATTTAGCCTGGTTTTGTTTGAATTTGTGGTTCTGAAAGCTTAGATGGTATTTCTTCTTTGTGCCCCAGTCATACAAGGTGTATGATTTTGTGTCCCCTCCTCATTTACCGGTAAATTTTGATTCTATTAGGCAATTACACGCATATTTTGAAGGAAATATGGCAGTTTTATGATTATTGCATTTCTGTACATTTTGTAAATACAGATGACTCTGTATCAGGCAGATCCCGGTTGTGGAAACCACTATGCTACAAGCTCACAAGATATTAGCACTCACAGAAGCTACTCAGGCTACTCATACAAGAAGCAAATTTACCTTATAAATATGTAGACAAGGGAAAAGGAGCTTTCAGTTTCTTAAGCATCCAGAAATCTAGTGGGAGAGAACCATTGTCCTTGGCTCTTGATATAAGAACCGTGAGCATATCCACCATACAAGAAGCCTTCTTCAAGGTTTTGAATCTGTACAATGTAGCTAACTGACTGTTTGGAAATAATTAAGACTGAAAGAATCCACCAAGAGGTACCATGATAAACCATTGACACTTGTGGCTTTCAGGGAACAGTCCCTGTAGGAGAGACCCAGGAGGCTCCATTTCTGTCCCAGCTGTATCAGCGTCCCAGGTTCATACTATTTTTAAGAAGTATGGCCATAGTTCAACTGTGGTATTCCTTGTTTTAGGAGATCTGGACAAATAATCTATACTATATGTTTTAGTGATGTCAGTGCATGTCCTCTTGGAAAGTTTGGCTGACTCCTGATTATTCTCACAGAATCATGGGCTTCATTGAAAAGCACCTTTTTTTTTTTCTTTTCCTGGCAGAGCTTAGCCAGTTTTGCTGTGTAACGAAGACAACCTTTCAATCTATGTTTCTTGATGTTCTCCCTTCCTCTTGATCTAGCTTTACTTGAACTCTTCTGAAAAATGTCAGTCAAATTTGTCAAGAGGGGAGAAACTTTGATGAAAATAAAGTTTGTGTATGTTTCATGGAAAGTCAGAACTCTCAGGAACTTTGATTTTGCTAACTGGTTTCTACAGCAGAATAGGGTGAACTCTGAGGGAAGGAATTTATGGAATTTATGGAATAACAGGAAATCCTAATATAATGTGCCAAATATTAGTCAAATATCAGACCCAATCTATAGGAACCTGACTTTAATTATTCCTAGTTCTCACAGACTTATTTCTTTACCAAAGTTCACATTACCTACTCTTTCATGGTCTGAATTAAGAGGTAGAAAAAAACCCTTTGTTCAAAGTTCTAGAATGTTATCACTGGGTCAACACTCCTGTTCCTTTCCTTCTACTTCTTAATTAGTTAAAAGCAAAACTAAGAGTGTAATTTCATTGTGCCAGACCAATCCACTAATAATTACCTTTCCGAATGGCAAGAGGATGTGACAACCATCATATATATTTGTCAGTGGAGACTATATAATTGTCATCATCTGGGGAAAAATATGGGAGACAAGCTTGAAACTATCTTTACCAGAGAAATAAAGTTAGCAATTTCTATTTCAACAGTGAACTAAAATTCATTGATTAGTGTGAGACAGGGCAGATAGGCTGAAGGGGCTTCTTAATCACAGTTTATAAATACTTGTGTAAGGAGTCTGTTGTAGAGGGCTCTTTGTGGCTATATTTGCTGTGAAAGTTTGCTAAGCTTGATGAGGTAAGCACATAGAAACTGAAAACAAACTGAACTGGAAGAAAAGGGGATAAATCTATTCGTCCCTTTTGAATCATTATGATAATTAATTATTTGTAGAAATAATTTACCATTGGAAAACTTAACAAGGGTTGTTGTGAATTTTCTCTCACAAGCAGTCCTTATGTCAAGATGTCTTTGTGAAGGACACCTTTTAAATCAATCAGAAGTTCCAGTTATAAGCAGGAATTACTGACTGTAATTTTACAACTCATGTTATGCATAATGACAGATTATCTAATTGCAGTTGTTCCTTCTGGCTGTAATAATTTACAAACCTACATGGAGGCATGTTATGGTATTTATTTTGTGACCTATAGAACTCAAAGATCATAGTGAGCTGTGATCCTTTAGGGATGGTGCTTAAATGGATATTGCTCATTTGAACAGACAACAGGCTTTTTGCATGCTTTTGAATGACAATGCATATTTAGTGAAGGGGTTTATTTCATTAATTTATTCAGTTTGTTCACGGATTTCCTCCACTACAGGCTCTTGTTCTGTGTTATTTTTTGGAAACTAATTCTAAACAATACAATTTGGTTGACAAAAATGTGATTGAAATTGGAGCTGGAACTGGGTTGGTCTCCATAGTAGCCAGCTTACTGGGTGAGTATGTACCATTGCTGTTATGGTCTTAAAAATAGCTCTCAGATGAATAGTGGAGGGCAAAGGAAGTGGCTTAGTTCTTCTAAAAGACTGTTGTTTGAGAGCTTCCCAGACTGAGAAACAGTAAATTCTAAAAAGCACATTTGGAAACATGCTTTGTTACTTTTTTTTTCTGTGAGTGTATTGATGCAAGAAAGGAATAAATATATTGTCATTAACTGTGTTAAACAGAGAACCAAAATAAGAAATTATTGGCTTCACAGGATGTCAGTTGGAGCCAGATGTAAATATGACCAATGCACCCCCTTCCATTTACCAAAGAAGCTCTTGGATACCAGGTCACTTTCTATCCATTTGTGTTTCAGTATTTTCCTTCAGCAACTTGATTTTTTCTGCTGCAGACGCTGTTGTGTTTTCTCTCATGGTAGCCTATTCTTCCTCAAGAGTATTCCAAGTCAGTGGTGTCTGCATTTTAACAGAACTTTTTTACAGAACTTTAGCTTTCTGTAGTCTGAGAAAGCTTCTTTCTCTGTGAAAAGGAAGAAATCTGAGGCAATGCTTAAATCTCATGCTGACTTCTTGGAGTCAGTAACTGGTATTCCTCTGTCCTTAGCTGGTCACTGTACTTTTAACCAATGTGATATCAAGACACAGTAAGTATCTAATTTCTCCCCACCAGCTGCATTTACATGGTGATCTGTAGAATAGAACTATCACAAACCAAGTATTTATTTCAAGCACAGTGTCTAAGAGTTATTGGGAGCATTTACATTGTTCTGTTAGCCTCAGTGAGAGCTATTCGATAAAACGAGTTCCTTGTGCAGTGGCTTTTGTGAATGGACTTTTACTCAAGTCTTGAAGTATATTAAAATGTTACATTTGTTTTCTCCATGCCACAGGTGCCCTTGTGACTGCCACAGATTTGCCAGAATTACTGGGAAACCTTCAGCACAATGTTCTCCGTAATACAAAGCTGAAAAGCAAGCACCAGCCTTGTGTTAAGGAATTGTCTTGGGGAATTGATCTGGAAAAGAACTTTCCTAGGTCTTCCTGTCATTTTGACTACATTATGGCTGCTGATGTAGTTTACCACCATCCGTTCCTGGATGAACTCCTCCTAACTTTTGATCATTTGTGCAAGAATGATACTATTATTCTGTGGGCTATGAAATTTAGGTTGGAGAAAGAGAACAAATTTGTGGACAGATTTCAGACCCTGTTTGACTTAGAGATGATTTCTAATTTCCCCAGTTTGAACATAGCCTTGTATAAAGCAATGAGGAAAGACAGCATGAAAGCCAGCCTTCCAAACTGATGGTCTGAAAGTGACAGTTTCAGCTGTTCTGTAGCTTGTTCTCTTTTTAATAATTTCCATGTTAGTAGCTGCTAACATCTATGTGAATCACAGTTTTAGAGGTAGCTAAAACAAAGCATCTGATTCCTAGTACCTCCCTAATAAATTGCTAAATTCAATTTACTGATAGTTTTATACACAGAAGAGATGTACTTTTGACATTTTCATGACTTTTATGTGCTAAGATGACAACTCTAATAAGTTTCACTGGTCTTACCACTATTGTTATGGGTCATGTAATGAATATTTCCAAAATATTTCAGTTACAGCTTTGAGTGGTGTCTTATATGATCAACCAATCATTTAAAACTCAAGACTGTCATGAATCTTTGCATTTAAAAGTTGAGGTGTTAAATATGATCTTTTCCCATTCTCACGATCATGTTAATCCTTCCTTAGAACACCCTTAATAGGATGTCAAATTAACTGAAAAAAACCTTACTACTATATTGTCATAATACAGGGATAGAATATATTAGTTACCCTTTGATTTAATAATTATGCTTTCATTTTTTATTTAGATTCGGAGATTCTTCATCAGCTGCACACATGAGGCAAGAGGGAGTTAAATGTTTTGTTGCTTGAACAAGTGCTCAATATGTAAGTTGTATAAGAAGAGTACAGCATATCACCAGCTGCCCTTTGCAAAGACCTTAGATTCTTGGATGTCTGCTCCTCCAAAAATAGACAGTTATCTGGACGTCAGGGAACAACAATGGAAAAATGACAGTGACCATGAAGAGAGGAGCTTTGCACTGCCAGCTGCTGGTGGCTGGAGGTAGAAAACTAAACCAGCCTGTCATGGTGTGCCTGAGGCATGGACAGGTTTAGATATTTGTTTGATTTTGTGATATGGACAAACAAAATACTTTCCTCCTAGTCCTCAGGGTTGTGTACTTCTGTTTACAGTGACCTATCCAATAGTTTTCTTATGGGAAGATTAATAAAATTATTCTTTCCACATACCACATTTTCTGATTCTGCTTGATTTTGAGACCTTCAAGTCCCTTGCAGGCTAGAGAAGAGAGCTTTATCACCTCTGCTGTAGCAGGCAATTGCCCTTGCGATATGAAGGCTCTGGGGACTCTCAGTCTTTAACTTTTTAGCCACTATCTGTACTTCCTCAAAATGTACTTTATGTATTGCAGATTTGAACATTTTTTAATTGTTGACTTCCAGAGCATACTAGTGTATATACCTCTGATTGGGGCAGATGCATGCTACTTATTTACTCTGCTGCCTGGTACAAGTACAAGGCAGAATTATGGTAAATAGCTGGTACAACTGGGATGTACTTTTTCTTCCTTCTGAACATTGGGTTTTCTTGGGACTAAGGTGCTTGGTGTTAGAGATGAAGTGTTGCAGAGAGGAGAGACTGAGCTGCCAAGCTTTTCCAGTGGGAACTGGATATCCTATGTGTGAAAGGAGGTAGTGAAGAGAATTTTGGGGGAGAGCAAATGAGGATGTGGCAGGAGGGATCTGTTTTTGGAGGGAGGGTTGCAGAGAAAAGGTAGTTGTAGGGAGAAGGTCAGATGGAGAAAAAGAAAGAGAATAGTGAGACTGACTTCAAAAAGTTTTAAGAACCATAGCACCACCTTTCTTGCTACTGACTGTAGTGGGGGCATCCTTGGTGAGACGTGGATAAAACTAAAGCAATCAGTAGTATGTCTTAGCCCAGGACAGCAAATGAGAAGAAAGGGAGTCAAGTCTACTTTCTAGCTTTCCTGATGAGAGATCACATGTGAGATTTTGGCTTGGAGGTTATTGGAGAAAAAGCTTCTAATCCTCATCATTTAGTTTCCTGTGACAAGGTTTGTAGATACAGGTAACATCTTTTGTTGGATCAATCAGTATAGCTAGAAAATTAGACTCTATGCCATCTGGCAGGAAGTATTACCCCTCCTTACAGATGTTATTATGCACATGGCCTTAGATCATTACAGCTGTAGAAAAGCATGACTGCAAAATGGAAATATTTTTCCAGACTGTTTAATAGAAGTAGTTCAGTGTAAGTGAATAAAGAAACAAACACGGATCTCCACCATTGCTTGATTTCCTTTCCCTGCTTCCTTATAACTTGTTTGCAACCATCAAATCTACTGCAATTGACACTGTAATCCATGTATCCAAAAGGGCATCTCTGTCTACAAATGTTTCACGGATAAATGTACTGGGACTATAATTACTCAATAACAGTGAAATGATCTGGTGAATTCCAAAGTGATGAAGGCTAAAGAGGAACACTACAGTAAAGTGGTTAGGTGTGATCACTTTTAAACAGCTAACTAGCCCTCCTGTTTGGGCCACAGACTGACCCCTGCTGAGCTCCTGCTGAAGTCAACAAGAGATGTGTTTGTCGAATGGATTTGGGATTGGCCACTTTAGGTTCAACAGCTTGTTAATATTTAGTGGAATGTAACATCAGTTCTCTTTCTCACAAGTCTGCCTAGCACCACTGTGTGAAGCTTCCTGGGAAATCTTTGGTGACTGACTGCTCTATTGTACAGCCAACTTTTGTCCTCTGGTGTGATGGGCAGGTTATTAGCCATGACCAGTGGAGGGTGAGGTTGTATATGACATTTGCCTATGGAATTTATTTCTGCTCTTTGAGAACAAGTTTCACATGAATATCAAGTATTACTGACCCCTAAAGTCAGTAATAATTTTACTAGCCGCCTATTCTTTGTTTTAATGTTTCAGATAAAGGATCAAATTGTCATTCAGTGCATTATGTTGCTAATACACTGGCATTTGTATCTGTAGTTTGTGAAAGGCAGAAGGAAAAGAAGGTCAGTTAAATTTGTGGGTGAAAGAGCTTCACCTTTGAGGAATGCCAGAGAATCTGCCTATGCTGGTAGGTTTTTGCAGTCTTTTATAGAGTGTTATGGTAATCATACTAATTGAAGAGTTAAATTGGGATGTATGGTATAAGTTAAATCCACTCCTCTGATTTTCTCTTTTCCAATATAAGAATAACTTATTGAGCAATGCTATAATTAAGTAACTTGATGGTATTTGCTAAATTTTCCCCAAACAATGTTTTTAAGTGCTAACCCTAACCCTAATGTTTTCAGGAAGGGTTCTTTCTGCATAAAGTATATATAAAATCATTACAGTGATTTACTTTGCTGCTTATTATACAATAACTTCATCAAGGTATTCTACAATTCATTGTTGTTTCTGTCTCAGAATTAAAGTAACAAATGCTTTCAACATTGTACAGTTTCCATATGGTAATATTGTGCTTTTGTCTCTGTCTTGCTGAATTGCCGTGTTGCAACTCTGAGTGATTTGGTTTCATTTGCATTATTACACCCACCCATGTGACCTCTTGCCTCCTATAAAAACTGTAAGAAAAAGCTGTAGCTGCTGAAAAATTAGAAAAAAGCATTCAAGTGACAGTACAGATCTATTGTGCAAAACCTCATTTTTGTTTAGAAGCAGCAATGGAGCCCCAACCTAAGAAATGGAATTACCAAAAATACCCAAATAACTACCCATGGCACAAATGACAGTTGAATGATGAAATTAGCCATTCTACAAGCACTAGGTGAGCAGAAAATATTAAAAGGATACCACACATGTCCTCCTTAATCAATCTTTAGTGCCAATCACCATTGAGTATGTCAGCACAGGAAACTTGGGGTGTTTGATAAATGTAGTATTTCTTCAGATGACCAAGTCCTGAAACCTAAATGGATTTAGAAGACTCCAATTCATCTAACAGCCTTTGAATTCTGGAGACCCAAAAGGTGCAGGACTTTTCCCTACTCATAGCCACTCTTACTGCAATGGTAACCAGTTCAATGAGAAAGAGATATAGATGCTATCAAAATATTACTACTCCATGGATGTAATTAAGAAATTGACATGTTCATTCTTATAATAACTCTGTGACATAAGGGAAATATTTTTACTCAGGTGTAAAACAAAGGGGAGACTAAGCTAACTATCAAGTGATTTAACCTCAGTCAGTGGTAAGGCCAGTACCAAAGTTCTTTCACATTTTGAATTTGCTTTGAATTTGTTCATATTAAGAAAAAAATTAATTTTCATATTGAATAAAAACAAATGCTTCCATGCCACTCTAGATAAATTATAAACACCCTAAAAGTATAAGCACGCAGCAATAAACAAGAGTAAAATATCAATTTTTCCTTTTGCATAGTTATACCATCTAAACATACAATACACAGATGGTATTGGATACTCTGGAATTTCAGAATCATTCAGGTTGGAAGGCACCTCTGAAGGTTATCTAGTCCTACCTCCTGGTCAAATCTGAGCCAGATTCAAAGTATGAAGAGGTTACTCAGTTTCTCTAGTTGGTACATGAAAATCTTGAAGAAAGGACATGTCACAATATATCTGAGCAGTCTGTTAATTTCTTTTTTTTCCCTCTCACATAACCAAATGGAATTTCTCTTGCTGCAACTGGGTATCTGTATTTTGTCATTTTGCAATGCACCTTTGACTTCATCTTCTCTATAACTCTCTTGTTATGTAGCAGAAGACAGCTATGAGATCCACCTCTAATCTTCCTCTCAACAAACCCAGGACTCTCAGCCTTTGCTTCCTTCATCCTCTGAACCCTTTTAGTCCTTCTCTGGATTCTCTTTAGTTTGTTAAGATTTCTACCATTAATGGTTCCACAAGTGGACTGCAGGTGGGGTGTTATTATGCCACATAGTGGGATAATTATCACTTTGAATGATCTGCTGGCTACACTCCTGACAATGAAGTTAACTTGCATTATCTGCAAGAATATGTGCAGGGTGCCAAGCATTTAAACCTCTTCTCATGGAGTGCAAATCCACTCCTATCTTTATCCTCTCTTCTTGTCCTTCTTAAAGACTTGTGGACCACAGCATTGCAGTTGTCCCATTTATCTGAAATACAAGGCTCTAAAATACACGTTTTACTATCTCTGAGAAAAAGTGATAATTGGAAATCAAGAGACGAGTATATCAGGATTACTTAAGAGATGCTGACTCTTAGGAGTTATACAGGCATAAAGTCTAAATATACTGAAATCCTGAGTGCTTATGTTCTAGGAAGTCCATAATTAGATGAGTGTTCTACAGAAGTTCATTGATTGTTAGAGATTATTAACGTCTAGTATGAGATTACTGTATTATTGGATTACCCACATTATGCATTATCAGATGATTATTATTACAAATTCGATTATTATTACAACTTATTACAAAATACTATCCTCCATGTTACGTAATTGACCCTACTCACTTTCTTTCAAGCTTGAAAACAGTTCATGTAAATAGAAATGTTGTTGCTCTCATGATGCCTGTGATTATTATACTCCTGTGTGCAACAATAACTGTGGCACTCCAAGGTGCTCAGCCTTGGCAGCAGAGTAGAAGGGTCATTAGATATTGACTGTATTCTTATCAGAAGTCAATCAGCTTATAGTAGCATTAGCACTTCTGTGTTAATTGGTAGAAGTGTATGAACACTCTGGGTAACTGTACAGATTTCTTGATAGCAGAGACCATCT